TCTCTCTCTCTCTCTCTCTCCCTCTCTCTCTCTCTCTCTGTCTCTCTCTCTCTCTCTATGTCTCTCTGTCTCTCTCTGTCTCTGTCAGACGAGTTTGTTTCTTGCAGTGAATGGGTGCCGTCAGAATGAGAGTCCAAACAGCTGATAAAAACATCACAATAATCCACAGCACTCCAGTCCATCAGTTAACATCTGGAGAAGACAAAAGCTGCGTGTTTGTAAGAGAGAAGTCCATCAAGACATTTTTAACCTCAAACAACTGCTTCTGACCAAAATTTGAGTCCATAATCCATAATAACACTTCCTCCCCTTTAATGAAATCATCTATATGTTTGCGTGTATAGATAAAGCAAAAAAATAGTATAGGTTATTATAATGCTATTTTGAGGAACCTGGCGAGACTTTGCTTTGTTTGTTGATAAACCCAGGCAGTTTAATGATATTAACAGTAGAGCTACCTGAGATCCAGTGTAACACGAGTTAATAGGAAAACGTGTTACTGATGGGCCTGTGGGATACACAACACACAAAAGTTGGCAAATTAATAAATACAGATGATGTCACCCATGAGAACTCCAAGTCTGCGAGTCTAAATGAATCTAATTAGACAACCAATTAATTTCTTCTGCTCTTTATGTGCAGAAGGTGAACGGATGACTTGAACATCAGTATTAGTAGCATCGACACATTTCAATAAACGTGGCCTACAGTACAAGGACATATACATCTTCAATCAACAGCGTTGCATGTCAAGCAGTAGTGGCTGAAGGAACATCAAACTACACGAAACAAGAGTCTTGAGCCCCGTCACATCTGAACCTGCACACACACACACCATCTGTATTCTAGCCTGAATATCACATCAGCTAACTTCTACGTTTAATAGTGTTGTTATTCGTGGCACATATAAACGCTAAAACTGTAGTGAAGGCTGAATCTTGCAAAAATCTGTTAAGAACATGTCCAGGTCACAATTCAGCACAAAAACAAAAAATTGCTCAACGAAAATGAATTCATTTATATAATTTTATAGTAATTTTTAAATATTTAATTTTTACCTTTATTTATCCAGGCAAGTCACTTAAGATCAAAATTCTTATTTACAACAATTTATTTGCTTCGTTTGATTATGTATTATGCATTGTGAGATTATTTTCATGAAAAGTAAGCATTTATCCCATATTCTCATTATAAAATGTGTCCGGATGGATTAAAGAATACGCAATCATGAAAATTATGTAAAAAAAAACAAAACATTTTGGGTGGTGAAATGTGACTTTGACATGGTCTGGGCAAGTTTCGTAAGATTCTCCATAATCAACACACTACCTGCTCACAAACTCTGGCAAGGATTTGGCTATAAACTCTGGCATCAGCAAGTTGCCCATCATTCATAATCATGTGCACTGCATCAGTAGAATAAATACACAAGTTCAAACCACATCATAATGTAGTGGTGAGGGCATAATAAAGAAACCTCAAGTACCCTTTAACAATATACAATTAGTTGTGCTTCTAATTGCATTAAACAGACATTGTTCCCTTTAGTCAAAACTAAAATATCTAAACAAATCTCTCGTGTACATATTTAAATAAGTGCCAGCCGTTATTAGGGGTTTATTGTGTATGAAAGCTTGTTTCCACCACAGAATAAAAATAAAAAAGGTAATTGTGACTTTATTGCAATTCTGAATTTACATCTCACAATTCAGATTAATTTTTTTCTTGCAATTCGGAGAAAAAAAAAAAATCGGAATTGTGAGATAACGAGTTTATAACTTGCATTAGTGATATACTGTATACAGTAAATTCGCAATTGTGAGAAAAAAAGTCAGAATTCTGAGATAAAAAGTCGCAATTAGCTTATTTTTTATTCCATGGTGGAAACGAGCTTCCATAATTATGTGCTGCTGACTAAATAAAGAACTCTAGTTGACCCTTAGCTCTGCATGGTCCAAAACTCTGCATGTCTGCTGCATATGGATCAGGTGCATTCTTTGGACTTATTATATAAAAAATATTAGGTTTTCTCAATAATGAGGTTGGGAGCTGCAGGTTTTGCATAGTCCAGTCTCTGTCCGTTTGGGAAGGCTTAGGAAACTCAGAGGCACCGAGTGTTCTTTGAAGTGTCCTAGAGACCCAGAGCAGACAGGATTGACAACAGTTGTTATTGTGGAAAGTGCTGTCTGTGCTACATGGGACTGGTGTTGTGTGTCTGGTCTGTGCTCTGTTGCTTGTATATGAAGGTCAGGAGGAACAGGGCGACGTCATGGGACGTCCAGTAGGCCGTGTGTGAGGTGACAGCTGACCAATAGCGGCTCTCCACCAAACCCTCCCGAAGCTCATAGTCAATGCGATGCTCCATCTCAACTGTGACACACACAACAACCAATCAGTATGAGTTCAACAGGTTTGGAACAAGGGGTCGGTAAGGTTTAATGTTTTTGAATGAAATGCTCACCAAGGCTGCATTTATTTAATCAAAAATACAGTAAATACAGTAAAAACAGTGAAATATTATTACAGTTTAAAACAGCTGTTTTCTATGTGAATATCTGTTAAACTGTAATGTATTTCTGTGATGCGCAGCTGTATTTTCAGCATCATTACTCCAGTCTTCAGTGTCACATGATCTTCAGAAATCAGTATAATATGCTGATTTGCTGCTCAAGAAACATTTCTGATTATCATCAATGTTGAAAACAGTTGTGCTGCACAATATTTTTGTGGAAACCGTGATGCATTTTATTTTTCAGGATTCACAGATGAATAGAAAGTTCAGAAGAACTTTGAAATAGAAATCTTCTGTAAGATTATAAATGTCTTTACTGTCAATTTGGATCAATTTAATGCGTCCTTGATGAATAAAACTAGTTCATTTTACTGCATTAAGAGAACACAAGTGTTGGTTGTACACACCTGCTGCATCGAATAAAGAGGAGGACGAGGATGGAGATATGGTTGAAAATGTAAAAGTGCTTTGGCCGTCCTCAATGTCACCTATCCCAGAATCCACGGCTGACGGCAGGCTGGGTGATCGAGAGAAGTGAGAGAATAAAATCCCGCTGATGCCCTTGCTGATACTAGCAGCGCCTGCGCAAACACAAGCTTACAGATTAGCAGACAGCAATCTGACTATTACTGTATTATCTTTTCTTCTGTAATACACTTACAATGTTAGTCACAGTTTTTGCACTTCAAAATCTGCCATAATTGAGCTTATCACAGTATTTCACTCTTTGATACTATTACTGTATTATCTTTTCTTCTGTAATACACTTACAATGTTAGTCAGTTTTTGCACTTCAAAATCTGCCATAATTGAGCTTATCACAGTATTTCACTCTTTGATCCCTACCAAGTAAACTTTTATTTTGCTGCTGTGTCTTTAAGACTTCTATGTACTTCTATATACAGTAGTATAATATGTGACCCTGGAGCACAAAAGCAGTCTTAAGTCGCTGGGGTATATTTGTAGCAATAGCCAACAGTACATTGTATGGGTCAAAATTATCCATTTTTCTTTTATGCCAAAAATCATTAGGATATTAAGTAAAGATCATGTTCCATGAAGATATTTTGTAAATTTCCTACCGTAAATATATCAAAACTAAGAACTTCATTTGGACAACTTTAAAGATGATTTTCTCAATATTTAGATTTTTTTGCACCCTCAGATTCCAGATTTTCAAATAGTTGTATCTCAGCCAAATACTGTCCGATCCTAACAAACCATACATCAATGGAAAGCTGATTTATTCAGCTTTCATGTGATGTATAAATCTCTACTTTGAAAAATGTACTCTTATGACTGGTTTTGTGGTCCAGGGTCACATATAGTATAACTATGTGTCTCAAACTGTTTAGATCAGACTGATATGATCAGGGATCTCACTGAAAACATGCAAATGTGTGATTGTGTGTAATAATGTATGTATCTGCCTGAAGTCAGAAACTTGCAGAATGAGTTATTTTTGCAGCTCTGTTTCAATAAAAGCTCTTTATGGACTGGAGAAGTTATTATGAGTTCTGAAAGTAGTAGTTCAATGTAATATGTAGTCCGCTGTACCCAGTATGCTGGCCTTGCCCAGGCTGGTGATGGACTCTCCGTAGTGTCTCGTGGCCAGTACAGGTGAGCTGCTGGGACTGGAGCCGTTCTCCGTGTCGGTCGCTGCATTCTTACTCATGTTTAGATATGTGGGTCTGATCTCATCATACGGGGTGGGGTTGATGGTGTTACACCTTCAAAACAATTCATTGAAATACAAATTCTGGCCACTCTATCCTTTAAACCAGTGATTCTCAACCAAGGCTCTGGCGCTCACAAAAAATCATCTATTATTATTGGTGCTCAGTTGTTAATAATGCTTCTTATTATCAGTGTTGTAACAGTTTTTGCTGCTTCATATTTTTGTGGAAACCATGCATTATCAAAAGTTTTGGGTAAGTACGATTTAAACTACATTACTTAATACACATATTCGGCAAGGATGCACTGATGTTTATTGAACTGTTGTTACTGTTGGCAATGTGTGTGTGTGTGTGTGTGTATAACTATAAATTAATTAAAACATAAAATGAAATAAAATAATAAAATAAAATAAAAATGGTATAAACTCATAAAATCAACATGTAAACTTGTTTCTACCTCAATAACTTTGTTTACTGAAGCACATACAGTTCTTGAAACTTCTGGAATCATAAAATTAATTATGGTTAATTAATTTAATATATTAACACTCCCAGTTTCTGTTAAATAAAAAAACGTTACAAAAAGTACATCAGAAATACTGAAAATATCTCAGCTTATATGATCGGGGGCTCAAATATTGGACAACAGGGGGCCGTTGAGTCAAAAAGGTTGAGAACCACTG